AGAGCACAATCACTAAAAGTTCCTTGTTCCCTATTGGAACTAGATAGTATAATAATCAAGAGTATAGTCCCAGAAACCCAAAATCTGACAAATGATCAAATTGAAAAAATGGAACAAGTATTAATAGGAAATTGGAAACAAAAAATACTCAGAGACAATGTTAAGCAAGAAGTATATCAAGATCGTCTACTTGAAATTCTTCAGTGCAATCAAGGATCACAAGAGAAGCTGACCTTCTACTCCAATAGATCCTTAATCGATCATAGAAATGAGAATGCAAAAATGGGTGCAGTATGGATACAACCAGAAGGAGCTGAAAAAGAACATAAATTTCAGACAGGAGTCAAAAACTGGCCCTCATCCACAAGGGCAAAACTGGTGGCACTGGTTACAATAGCTTTAGTAGCTCCAATAGACAATATTGTCGAGATCTTTACAGATAGTCAAGTCTGTATCTCTAAATGAAAAAAACTAAAAAAAGAAGACCCTAAAATGATACACAAAAGATGGCTAAAAGAAAAGAATCGGTCATTATGGGTGAGAATGCTAGATCTTATAAAGAAAAAGCATATCTAACTAACTTTGACCAAGGTTAAAGCCCACTTTAATGATCCATGAAATAAAGAAGCAGACTGACTGGCCAAAGAGGTATTAAATCTACCAGCAATAGAATGGAAGAATTTCAAATCATGCAAAATATCCACAGAAACTATGTGACAAGAAAAAGTGATAGACAGTTCAATATGACAGTTCATCAAGCAAATCAATAAAAGATCAATGGCTCTATCATGGACACAGCAACATAGAACAGAGACAAAATGGCAGCACCAAGTTCATAAGCATCAAATCTACTTATGGGATCTGGCATGGGATAGATTAAAAGATGGAAATACATGGGATATCTCCTCCAAAAGCTCACAGAGAAGAAGTTTCCTAGTTAAATTGACCAATTATGAACTACCTACCTTAAGCAAGCTAGTAATAAGAAGATCAGACCTATACAAGCAAGCAAGATGTATAGCATGTAATCAGTATCAAAAAACAATAAAACACTTATTAGAATGTTCTGGTTACAAGATTGAGATCCTAGCAGCATGACAAAAAGAATTTGAAACTTTTCTTAAAGAATTCAACAAGTTGTATTAAGAACGTAAGAGAGAAACAGATGAAAAAATGGTACAACTAGTAGTTGACAATAGAAAAAAAAAAGGCAAATTAGATAAATGGGTCTTCAGACTAATAGAATCAGCCTCGCAAACCGGTTCAAGTACTCTCAACTTTTACACAGGATTAGTAGAAAGTGACACAATCAAAAAAGCTGCTAACCTAAACTGTTATGAAAAGAAACTGAAAACAATAGCAAAAAATGGATTTTAAAAATACAAAAGAAGATTTGCAACCAAATCCAAAAACAAGCCTGGAACGTGAGATGTGAAAAGATTATAGAATGGGAACAAGAACAAAGAATTAATAGAAGTGTAAAATATAAGAAGGCCCAGGAAGCAAGAAGGCAAAACCCGCAAGACAATCCTAGTCATAAAAGCACAAGGCAAAGAGAAGAAGTGAAAGAGAGAGAAAACAAAAACCTGATAAAAATTATAAGAAGTGGAATTAAATATGGGATGAAGTGGTTGGGATTTTGATTCTTATCAGAACATCATGCAGTGATCTACAATAGTGACCTGCGGGTGATGATGTTAGAAGTTGGAAGGGTTTTTACCTGAACTATTAATGGAGTGATAAATCACTTCCGAAGTTGCACTTAGAGTCCTAAATAAATAGACTTTGACGAGTAAGTTAGTTAGAGATTTAGCTTTAGCAACACATATATAATGTATAACTTACAATTGTTTAATAAAATACACATAACTAGCCTGACAGAGGGTTATAATAAAAAAAAATAAGATTATATTGAAACTTTAAAATAAAAAAATATAATAGACAAAATTATATTAAAACTTATTATATAATAATATTTTTTTTTTAACTTATAATTAAGGCAGCACTATACAATATGCTTATTAATTATTAAGAAAATCAATAAAAATATATAAAACAATTGTATCATAACTAAATTAAATCTTGTATTGATTTATTCATTAATAACTTTCAATTTTTAATCTCTATAAACAACCTTGAAAAAAATATTTTACTTTGTAATAAATTTTGAATAAATACTCTTCTAATTTATACATTATTGTCAATAGGTTATTATTATTTATTATTTTCCAAAAAACTAATTTTGAGAAACTATAATAAAAAAAGAAAAAAGTAAAAAAAAAGGGAAATATCTACAATATACAAATATATTATATGAAGATTTGTGGGTCACTAATACAATGATAATATTTTCAGGTCACAATCACAAGATTTATAGTTTAATACTACTTAAGAATTAAAAATAAAATATTATCTTCTAATCAAGTTTACTGGTTATTCTATAAAAATCATATTTAATTATCTAGAACAAGATTAAAATCAGATTATATTATATAAAGATAGGACTTTTGATCTTATATCAATTAGGGACTTAAATCTACTATTATACTATTGAAAAAATTGTATAAAGAAAAGCTTTTGATTTAATTTTACATAAAATGTCTCACAACCTTAACTATATCAGCAGACTCTGGGACCTTACTTTCAGGACTGCAATGATTATTCAAATCTTCCTTACTTCAAAATTATATTAGTAGACTCTGGAACCTGACTATTCTAACTTGATATATAGTATTCCAATTTAGTACTTCTTTAAATAAAGAATCCATTAAATAAAACTGATCCGTGATGTCACAGATAGTAATAAAGAGAATAGAAATCCTCTTTGAGGTTTTAGTAAAAAGTATTAGGATATTCAGATGATTAATTAATACTTGAGAATTAATATAATGATTCAAGTTAGTTTAATAACATTAGGAAAAAAATTAATAAAGGCTAATAAAGAGTTAAAAAAAAATAAAAGTTTAATTATATTATAGTAATAATGTTTTTAGATTATAATTATAAGATTTAAAGTTCAATACTATATAAAAATTAATAAAAATATATTTTTTGATCATATTTATCAATTGTTCTATAAAAGTTATATTTATTTATCTAGAATATACTCAAATTAAGTTAGGTTGTATAAAGATAAGACTTCTAATTTTCAATCAATAAAAAGTTAAGATTTATAATTATATTATTAAAAGAATTATAAAAAAAATTTTTTTTAATTTAATTTAATTTAAATACTTTATGAATTTTTTTATTTAAATAATCTCTAAAACTTCTATTTTTTAACTTAAAGTATTTTAATCTAATATTACACTTAAATAAAAATCTATCAAAGAGTGTTATAATAGTATATACAAATAATATTTAATTAGTAAAAAAATAAAAATTGTAATGCTCAATATCAATTAATCTAGATTTATCACTAATGATTATGTATTAATCATCTGGTTCCTAGCTAGATCTATCTAGAACAAGTTATAATAGATTATCAATAATTTGCATGTATATGGAAATACACAGTATATATGAAATAATTAATGTCAGGCTAAAATTTAATTATTCAATAAAGAGCTCACATCTAATACCAGCTGTGGTTTAGAAAAAAAAAATAATAATAATAAAAGCCCATTATAATTTTTACAATTCTTTAAAAAAATTATTTATAACTTTCTTATGTGTAACTTGTCGAATTATGGCATAATTGATTATTTTTATTTTTAATTTATTTAAATTAACTAAATGGTCAATTTTTAAAACGTGCATGTTAAATAGATTTATTGATTCTTCATCAAACTCTTTTATTCATTATTATGATCCTTTCAATTTCCTGAGTTTATACATTCACGACGCCAACTTTTCTAGATACAGTAAAACTACAAAGCAAAATAAAGAATCGCTTTTTTGTATGCTAAGAATTGTTCAGTTATGTTTTGAATTAGTGCCAGAAAATGAAAAATTTATTCGACAAAACCGCGACGATCATCGGATTGATAAGATACACGAGGACCATCATAACTATCTGAATTCCTCTCAAATTTAGTTATGTTCGTCGACGTTTCCGATTCTTGCGTATAATTCAGATCAAAAGTCACCAAGCGCTCCTTTTCCTTCTGTCTTCTTGTAAGTAATTCATTATTCGTAGGATATGTTTGATTAACTTGGTCCATGTTTTTTGAACTGGGATACCGAAAAGCTAGTAATTCATTATCATGACTCTTAGGTCCAGCCCAATCTTTTTCAGTTCGCTGATTATGTTCTTTGGGAGGAGCATTAAATAGTTCTATTCTCCGTAATAAGGAGGAAATCGAATGTTCTCTTGAGTGTTGGCTGCTACTAGATTTACTTTTGGGAGAAACCAGAGAAATACCACTATCCCGATTTTCGGACGTAGACTTGAAACCATTACTCTCACAAGCATAATTATTAGGTGAACGATATATCACTGGGGAATTGGTAATTGGACTTGCCGGAGTAGATGGAGTAAAAATAAGACTCTGTGGAGAATTATTTTGAACACTGCTGTCCAAAAATGAGCAAGGGCTGATTTGCTGAACGGAATCATGGGTATCAGCACTGTCCGCTCTATTGTGAGTTAGCTTGGGAATAAAAATGCTCTTAAAAGGGGCTTTTGGTTTCATCGAGGATGTTCTGGAACGTACTGTTGATTGTGAAGGTGATGGTGGCACCGATAGTTCCACTCGTAACGAGTGAATATCCTGTTCAAAATTTGATGTTGGCGAAGGTGACGACTGATCAACATTCTTAACAGATGAATTGCCTATTCGTGAAGCGATTCTTTTTGCTGTACTCTTTATTAACGATTTTATCCGTCGTGCTCTTTTGGCGTTGGTTCTCGAATTAACTGTTTTCTGTGATCTTGGTGTTGAATCTGATATATCAATGTCATCAGCTATTGATAAGTCAATATTATCTGTAGCATTTGACGAAGTCAATAATTCTGAAGGAGGTCTAGCAGTTATTTGTATGATTTCTGGTATAACCGATGGTGTGTTTTTGGGCAAAGCCGCATTGAATCTTTCTTGTGCTTCTTCATTTTCTTTACGCAATTGAGCCTCAAGGGCAATGAGTTGTTTCTGGAGATCTACATATACCAATACATGGTGCATTTTGGTTTCTTTTGTAACCGGTGTCTGTAATTATTAAAAAAGAATAAGTTTGTTGCTTTTAGAAAACTTCTTAACAATCACCATTATTGTCTTGAAAAAAAATAATATACGCTCTTCATCCCGAGAATCAACAAGAAAACTCTTGAATATGTTATTTTTTTTTTTTAAAAAAAATAAAAATAAAATAAAATAAATAAATAAACAAAATAAACAAAGTACCAATTCAGTATGAAGTTTTAAATTCTTTTCCGTTAACGGACTCGTATAACTCTTCGAGCTGGAATTTCCATTTCTCTGAGGCCACATTGAAACAGCGCTGATGTCTTCGGTCATTTGCAAAAAAAAAAATCGACAGATGTTTTTCAGTCACGTACACAGTATTTCTCAAGGGGGCGTGCTGCAGTTGGTGCATATTTTTTATCTATAAATGCTAGGGACGTCAGCATAAGTCTTATGATAAAAAAGTGTAGGTGTCCAACAAGACAAATAATTAAGAGGGTTTCCAATTTTGGTTGTAATAACGCCTAATGCACAAATGAGTAGTGTAACCAGAACTAATAATGTATGTGTATTCTGATTAGTCAGAATTACATTAAAGTTAATCCCTAGTTAATATTGAATTCTTAATAAAATATATATAGTGGCGCTTAATATAGTAGTGCTCAACATATCTGGAATATTATTGTCAAAGGAATAAGTATGAGAACCTGTACTGGAAAAAAAGAGATTATATTAATATTTTACATATTTTCAAAAATGAAAAATATTTTTCCATATTATTATTCAGAGATAACTCTAATCATTAAAACGAGGGTCCCAAAGTCAAACTCGCTTGGAGATACAATTTAGTAGCAAACTGGAAAATAAAATTCAGATTTTATAATTTATTATATAAAAAATTTTAAATTTTTTAAAAAAGCTATTTTATTAAATTGATAAATGAATATTAACTATAAGATAAAATTTTTAAAAATTGAAAAGATGTTTCTTGTATTTTTGGTTAGATAATATTAGTCAATTTTTCAAAATTAATTCAATTATCACAAACAAATTTAGGTAGAAACAATTTTTAAGTTACATTTTTTAAAAAAACTTTTTAATTTAAAAAATTGATAAGAGTATAATAAAAATTATTAAAATAAAATCTAAGTTTTTTTTTTGTATTTTCATTAAAAAATTTTAATATATTTTAATAAGATAATTGTTGAAATATTTGATTTTTAATTTTGATACTTTAAATTTTTTTAAAGAATAGGGTTTTTTTTTTTAATTTGAAATTATATTATAATAATTTTATTTAAAAATTGATTAAAAATCTAATATAGTACATAATATTAAAGTTATTTTTATAATAATTGGTGATCACAATATATCAAATCAAATTAAATTTTAACTAGATTCAATTCTATCTGGTTTTTATAAAAATAAATCAAATATGGATTTGATTCATTTTAAATTAATCTAATTTGATTTGAAACTGAAATAATATAATTTAAGTTCAATTTAATTTAATTTGAATCTGATTCAATTTGATCTAAATTTGATTTAATTTTATTTAATTTAGTTCAAAACTAATTTGAAATCAATTTGATTCATTTTGAACCTGTTTCAAAATATATTTAACTATAACTACTTTAATTTAACTAAATTAAATTGAATATATTTAAATTAACCTAGTTTTATTTTAACAAAAATTTTTTAACTAATATATTTATTTTCATAAATATTTTTAACTTTAAATTTAAAATTTTTTATTTTATTAAATTTAAATAAATATATTTATTCTATCCATAATCATTTATTTGTTTTTATATTAATATACTTTCCACTATAATCAGTATCTTTTAAAATAACTTGATTTTCTATATCATTTTTTCTTTATTTTTTATTATTGATATTTTAAGTACTTGTAAAACATATTGATCTATCAATAATTAATTATATTGATAATTAATGTAATATTCTTCTTTTTTATCTTTTCTTTATTTTTTATAGCTGATACTGTTTTTTTGATCAAGTTTTGGGACAATCTACAAGTTACTATATATTTTTCATCAGCAATACTATAGTATCATATAATTCATTATCGAACTAGCAATAAAGAGTATTTTCTAGTAATAATTATATCAATTTTAACTTATTAATAATATATATTTTAATAATTTGTAATGTTTAAAAAATACCTGTTATTTCAACTTTAATTTCTTATTTAACTAACTTTCATCAAAATATCACTCACTGTAGGCAAATTCTTTATCATTAACAAGTTATATTTCTCTTAAGCAAGTAGCTGCAATTGCATAGTTCAAAAAATTAAAGTTAATATGAGCAAATTTGTTATATCTCTAGTATATAAGCCTTACATAAATCTAAAAATAGTTTAAATATATTTTTTTATTATTAAAGTAAACAATAATTTCTTTGTTAATAATATCAAATTTGTTGATATCTAGTTGAAGTAAATGTATTCTTCTATTTTTTTTATATACTTGAGATTACATCCTCAGAATATATATATATAGCATAGTTGAAAAGAAAGCTATTTATCACTACAACTTTCTCTTCTTGCAAATATTGTCTTTTAGATTCTTGTAATTTGATAAATATATTATACACATAGATAAATATTCTATTTTTTCTTATTAAAAGATATCTATAAATATTAACATTAATAAATTTTAAAAAATAAAAACTTAAGTTTAATTAAATATATATCCTATAGCTGTTAAGACACTTTGATTCAATTTTTTAGTTTCTGATAACTGAGCAACTTGCTGGTGCAAAAAAATATATTGATAATTATGTTTCTTATGAGTTTAAATAAGATCAATATAATTTTAATATATAGTCAATATTACTTTGTTTGAGACTTTATAATAAACTATTATTTTTTCATTTTTTTTTTTATTATTTTTGAAAGATAGGAGATAGTATATATGAGAAGACAAGGAATTGATTTTTTCAAATATTCACTTTTCTTTTATTTTTTTTTTCATAATAACTAGGGAGAAGATTAAAATATATCATTTTTATTATATACATCTCCTCAAGATACTTTTGAGTTAATAAGTTATTTCTAACCTGTAATTTAATTTAATTAATACAATTTCAAAAAAATTATAAAATTTAAACTTACAAAATTTTTATTGTTTTTTTTTGAATTTTTTTTGTATTATTAATATCAGCTCTTAATGTAGTAATAGCATTTTTTAAGCTATTATTACAAATAACCAAAAACTTTAAAAAATCCCTTTATCAGTTGACCTGATATTGTTTTATTATTAATAAACTTGAAAATATATCCAAGTATTTTTATTATATTTATATTTTGGTAAGTATTAATGTTAAAGTCAGAAATGATCAGGTAAATATTCAACAAGTTGTGAATTAATGTACTTAAAAATATAGCATATTTTATTGGATTATCATTTTTTTGTAATACAAGAAAATGGAGTGGCAACAAAGATTTTTAAATTGAGATATATAAAATTAACTTAATATATATAGTATACTATTTAATGTAATATAAAAAATTGACAATCATCTCTAATAAACACAACTCTTTCCCGTTTTCCTGTGGTACAGCAACAAAAACCACAAAAATGCAAGAAATAGTTGAAAGATGGAGAGAACCAAAAGGGCACAATATCTGAATAGCAGGCCTAACTACAATATCAACAAACTCATCAAGGAAAAGGTTATCCCCATCAGCAAAGAAATGTAAAAAATGGAAAAGAAACCCATTACGAAACAAACAATTTTATACAAAATAACTTTCTCTCTAATTCCAACTATTTTACAAACGAATATGCTTGACAAAGACACCATCACAACAACAACAGGCAGTACATACACCGAAGAAACCAATCATACTTGGAGTAATCAGGTCAAAAAAGAACAAAACTTATGAAACAAAATCCAAAACAACTTAGGTGGAACATCCACAGCAAAAGGGAAGGAAGTATAAATGGGCAATCCAAAACTCTATAGAATAGATGACTCGGACATTGAAATGGACTTCAAAGACTATACCTTCTCTCAAGAAGATCAAGACTGGCATACCGTCAAATAATAAAGGAAGAATGAAACAAGACAGGGAACAAAACCAAGACCTCGATCACCCTTCAACAGAAATATGAGATATGGTAAAGAAAGAATCAAACTTGGAATTAGAGCAGATCTCCTATCAGGAGACTTTACTGGAAAGATAATCACCTTTCTCACCAAGACACTTAACTCTTCTGAAAGACTCCTCACAATCCAAAATGAATGAATAGAAGAAACTGACCATATCATTACTATCTTCAGTAATCACCAATCTGCTGCCGCAGCTAGCAACATTCCCCTAATGGAATTAGATAACTCTACACTCACACCACTTTACAAAATCATTAGTAAACTGGATAAGGAAAAAAGCATCAGAGTCTGGGATATCTTCTTGAACTCAAGATTCATAGATGTACAACAAACATTCGCTAAATTTGGGCAGATCATCAATATCAGAATGACAACTCAACAAATGTGGCAGTCAGCCACAATCACTTTTGGCAATAAGGAAGACAAGCTCAAAATATTCGAGTCCTGGAGTATCCTGATTAAATCAGACTCAGTAAGAATCATCGACACAATGTGGGACCTAACACAAATGAAAGAAAGAAGATGTTTCTCCCTAAAACTAACCAACCTCTCACCAGAAACTCATGCATTTGACCTCAAACAAATATACCACAACTGCAAGTGAAAACATGCTACATATCTTGATTGATGTCATATGGACCCAGAAAGTATGCAGTTCTCAGCTTCGAAAATGAACAACTACTTCAACAAGCATTGCAAGAAACCTTTAACTTAGGGGAGACCACTCTAATTGGTAAACCTATTGACACAAAATTATGTACTATCTGTGACAGCCCAGAACACCTCATGGCCAATATACAATTAAGGAGTGACGAGAACAATGGAATGAATACAATTAAGAACAGGCTCACAAATTTGAAAACTCTACAATCATTTCAAACCAGTTAAATCTACTTACATTCGCAAACTTACATACACATCATCTGAAAATAAATCAACCAGACCAGACTCATATGCCTCAGCAGTCAAAAGACCAACCCACGCTGTCAGAAATCAGCAAAGTAATCCTGACTCAACTGATGATATTCTCACAATGCTAACTGCGATCTGGGATGAACTCACAACAATCAAAGAGTCACTCAATGACCTCGATAAACACATCAACAATCTCAAACAATAATGCTATGCCGATACTGAATATACATAAAAAAGCAATACAGCAGACATCCCATTGATGAATCAATTCCCGAACAAATAAATATCCAGAACATTCAACAACAGTAGCAGCAACTTCACCAATCCATTGGCAACATGAATAGAACAATGAATGCACTAATATCAACTATCACAAACATCCTTCTTAGCAACACAGATAACCACAATTCACTCCTCAGTAATAAGGGTAATTCAAATAGCAACAACAATAAACAAGGCAACAACGAGAACAACTGCTCAACAACAACAGAACCAGATGACGAAACAACTTATAATAAAAATCAAATTAGCAAAAACTACAATCATATCAATACATTAGAAAAAACTAGTAGCAATCCAATGATAATATTAACAACAAGAAAAACACATCATAACACTATAGAAATGACAGTACCAATCACAAAACAAATAAACTGAACACTCACTACCACCACACAACAAAACATTATATCAAGACACTATAATGGACATATCCAAAACCCCCATCAAAAAACCTTTCTGGATCATTACAACACTTAATTGCCGGGGGCTAAATGACATACTCAAGAGAGAGACATGGTTTACCACATGGCAAATCAACAATTGGGACATAATTATGTCAATAGAAACAAACAGAACAAGGATAAACACAAAACACTGAAAAACTGAAAACTATTCAACATGGTGAGAAGGAGAAAACAATATCAGTGCCAGAGTAGGAGTTGCAATCAAAAAATCTCTTTCTGACTGAGTAATCGAAATATAGAGATACTTAGATAGAGCCATATATATAGATCTTGTACTACCCAACAAACTATACTGTAGAATAATTGGAGTCTACTCACCAGCTAGAGCCGGAAAACTTAGAACAGCAGTACAGAATCAAATAATCAAATGGATCAAACAATGGAACAACATGAACTGGCATATCATTATCAGAGGAAATTTCAATATAAGTTCCTCGAACAGAATGGACAAAGCCTCCAACAACAGAAGAATACACAAAAACAAAACAAACAGCTTCTGTGAACAACTCCATAATCTCAGTATGATTGATACATATTGATATCACAATCCACAGAAAAAAGAATACACTTGGCACTCCACAACTTCCTCTAGTAGAATCAATATGATCTGAACAAATACATGCCCCACATGGTGCATAATAGATGCATTCATAACGGAAGATATGAACATCACAAATGATCACAACCTACAGATAACATACATAGAAAGCTGGCAATTAGAAACGAATGATAAGCGAAACAGACAACCTCATACAAACACTCGCTTCTAGTAGGAGAAGACTACAGACAAGCAATGGAATGCCTTTGCTGCCTAACTTGATACACAAATTCCAACACTCCACAACCTCCTCAAGACAGAACCGACAGACATCGACAGAACTTGGAACCATTTCAGACAAGCCATTCTCAATGCTGCAAATAAACACATCCAAAAATACAAGGAGAGGCAAAGAAGTAGACTTAAATACTTGAAGCCAACCAAACCCTTACTCCTTATTTAGCTGTTACAATACAAAAAGCAAATCCACCTTTACAACAAATAGAATAGCACAGTCGATCTCGAACAACTTACCAATCTACACGCAGCCATCAATGAATAAATATCAATTCATATCTTTTCACCCAATAAAGACACCAAAGCTATAAATAAGGAAATAGACAAACTAATCACTCTGAAAAAGACCATCAACAAACAGAACATATACAAGATCACCAAAGCAGATATAGATCAAGCCCTCAGAAATTATAATAACTAGTTTGATATGGACAAGAAAAAACTCATCAGAACACTTTTAGACAATCCTAAGAGAAGCATCCTTACAACCAAACTCATCAAAGAGGAAGGAGACACAAAGACTCTGATATACAAACCTCACGAAATCAAAGAAACAGTCCAATCATACTTTAAAAACTGGACAAAAAAGAAACACATTTTCGAATTGGAAGGTACACACTGGCAGAAAGCATATCAACCCATCACCACTATTAAAGAAGAATGGTACAAACCTGCACTTACCCCATTCACTACTGAAGAAGTACAATAAGTAATTAAAAATGCCAGTAACAAATCAACCTTCGGACTATCACAAATCCCTTATCTCGCATATAAACACCTGTCTAAAGAAATCTTAGAGGTCATAACTATGCTTTTCAATTATATCCTTATATATGAGAAACTATCTACTAAATGGAAAGAAGGAATAATATACCCGATACCCAAACCAAAAGATTGACAGCACAATATCAACATCACTCAACCTATCACACTCCTCGAATCTATCAAAAAAATTTTCACCAAACTTATAAATAATAGACTAGCCAAAATAATGATCGAACATCCAATTCTATCAGAAAACAATTGGGCAGCACTCCTCAAAAGCAGCACACGCAAACCTATCACTATTATAAATCAAGTATTAGAAGATGCATGAGAAACAAACAAACAATACATTATGCTCTTTCAAGACATAAGCAAGGTATACAACACCGTCAATACACAAAGATTGATCACCTCACTTCAACAAATAAAAATGTCAAACAAATTAATCAATATAATCAACAACTGTTTCACAAACAGGTCCAATAAGGTAATCACATATTTCAGGCTTACTAATCCATACCAAGTCAAAGAAGGAATCGATCAGGGGGATACAATCTCACCCCTCCTCTGGCACATATACTACGACTCCCTAATAAGCACAATCAGCTCAATGAAAGGCTACCAACTTAATAGCCACAGACCAAATCTTGATATCAGCAGTCCTACAAACCTCAACATTATGGTAACAGCATATATGAATAATACTACATTTATCACTCAAAATAGAGAGCAACTTGAAGATATTATGGAAGTCAGTGCCTCCTTTTATCACCTCAATGGCATCACAGTTAACCCTCTCAAATTTGAACTGTTAATACTGAATGGTCCACAGGAAAGTATTACTTTCCAAGAACATGAAGTAACACTAACCACCAAAATGCAGACAATAAGAGTCCTAGGTGTATGGCATGAAAGGAAGAAAGGAAAACAATATCAATGTAATCTCATCAAAAGAAAAGTTATCACAATCTGCAACTTGATAGCCAGAAAACAAATAACAGACAAGATGCATTATTATATCACAAACCATGTCCTCTTTTCTACAATAGATTACCTTCTAACAAACTTGGTATTAATGAAAAATAAAATACAATAGATCAACTGCTACATACGCAATTGCCTCAAACATCATGTTAAGCTCTCAAAAACTGCCTCAACTCCATTAGCACACCTCAGCAATCAATACAACATCATGAAAATTGAAACAGGACAACAACAGAAGCACTGCAGTGATTTCTAAGAATTATACCATAGTAACAACCTGGCAGGACAAATAATTAGACTTAGAACCCAACAACTGCAGTGAATGGCATGGCAAAAAAGAAGACATTCTTAGAAAATGCCCAAAGCTCCTCCCATCAAAAACAAACTTCATACACGATGTACTTTATAACATATAGACCCAAAACATCACATTACATCACCAAACGATAACCAAAAATAATAATGATAGCCTCACCTATATTAAGGACATTATGGCTGACGAATAGTACAACTCCAATAGAAAGGGATTAAAAGCACACAATATAATGTAAATTGAACAACTCCTCAATACCTATCATACAAAGGCCTTAAATTGACACCAAGTAGGAGTACTCCATAATAAAACAAATAAGCGAAAACAACCCTCTTTCTTTATAACACTCAAAACTACAACACAAATCTACATTAAAAACCATGCAAATTTTAACCAACTTAATCCTGAAATGCAAACTAAATGTAACACAGAATCGAAACAAGAGCAACAAAGAAATTTCAATAAGTCATGGTATATTCTTCAATGACACCATGACTTCATTATCAGAAAACAAGTGAGTCGAGACAAAGATCACATCAAACTATAGCACTATCTCACCACAGACACTTCACTATTAGAAAAATGTCCCAGATGTGAACTAAATTAACACATAGACAAGTGAAGTCACATATACTGCTTCACAGCCCCAACAAAATTGTTATACAAAGCTCCAGTAATTAAACCATCTAAAGCAAATACAAGAAACATCAGAAAGCCACAGTTCAGAATTCAGCTCTCACTCAGTACTACTCAATGCTGGCTCAATGAATCCAACCAAATCATAGAAGCAGTTGAGGTAGAAGCAACTCCAACCTCCATAAAAAACTTATTACAGCTAATAGATATTCCAGCTCCCACAATACAATAACTCATAAACATTAACAAAAACATCAACACCAATGAGACGATCAAGATAACGATAGATGGAGCCTTCAATCACAATAATCATAATGCCTTAGGAGTAGGTATCATTTTCTCGACCAGCATGATACAACAGGGCAACTTCAAACTCAGAATCATAAGGCAGTGCTCAGCTTTCAGAGTAGAGATCTTAGCTGCAACTATTGCAATTAGTACTCTACCGTTTAAACAAAAAGCAACTATACAAATAGACTTAGCTCAACTTATTATGGAGCTTGAAAAAGTATCGCTTGGACAAATCAAAAACATATCAGAAGTCGGACTCATCCACAACCTACACTATTGCATCAAGGTAGCACAAACTTCAATCAGCTGGATCAAAATTAATAAAAAAGAAAACAACAATGATGAATTAAAACAAGTAGACAAGTTAGCCAAACAAAGCCTAAAGGATAATACCATTAGTGATAACCTGATACAAAAACTTCTGGAACCCAAGGTCATCACTTTCAATTACAATCAAAAGACAGAAATTATTGACACCATCTGCAAAACAATAAAACAAATAAGACAAGCCACACTCATATACAAATGGATCTTACTTGATCGAAACTGCAAACTTAACCAACACTAAAAAGTTGACATTGACTGGAAAAAGACACCCCAACACCTACATCCAACAAAAATTACAAGCAATCATATAGACAACATAGATCACAGCCACAGACAATTCGCTATAAAACTATGAAATCTTGAACTCCCAATGATAGACAAACTATACACTCACAAACCTGAGATTTACAGATCATCCACATGCTTTACTTGCTCAGAAATCGAAGACAACATCCACTCCTTCAGATGCAAGCACTATGGAATTCATATCAATGAAATGATACTCAATACCATATACTCAGAAACCATAGCACGGACTGAAAAAGGAAGCCCACACTCCTGCAAGAAGGAAATTGAAAACCATTTAGAAACAAATGAGCTATGGAACGTCTTCATCAGAGGAGGCATCAGCAGAAAAGTCATCCAAACAATCAGTCAATTCATCCCATCAGACAAAATAGTAGAAGACACCTATAATATCATCCTTAGAATCAGATTCATCACCTACAACATATGAACAGACAGATGCATCCATATCCAA